ATTGACACCAGTCTATATTGACAACTGATATTTTCTTTTTAAGACGTCTTAAATGCATTTGTCATGATTTCAATAACTGCTCCAATCCGTTCAGACTTCTTTCCATTGAAACTTTCAATAAATCTTGATAAAGTTTATAAAAAATTAATACAACCTCCTGTAATATCTACTTCTGAACTAGCCTTAAAGAAAATAGGTAATTGATTATACTTATTATTCTATTTATTCTATTTATTCTATTTATTCTATTTATTCTATTTATTCTAAATTTCCATTTCTTCTTTTCCATTCTATTCTTCTAGAAAAACATAACTCTTCTATACCGGAGTTACGTCATAAACCTTTTATTCCTTCACAACTTGGTCCAAATAGATCGGATGATTGGTTATCAGCGGTCGATTATTTGCCAAGTGAAAGATACGTCAACGACAACAGTAAAAATAAATCAAAAAGACAAAAGACTAAATTTAATTTATCGGTAATTATCATCACTTTTTTATCGTTTATTTATTAACTCTACGTGTTAAATCTTAAATTAAGTTAACATTATTTTCCCGCTTCTATTTTTTAGAATAAAATGATTAGTTCAACAGCAGCTTATAGAGCAGGGGATCAATTATATGGTTGGATTAATACCGAGTCAGAAGAATATTTATTAAAGAAAATTGAAAATAATGACACCGAAGAATTAAGTATAATATCGTTTGGTGGTGACTTACTTTTTGATTCATCGTAAGTAATTAAAATTTCTTTCAAACTTATAAAGTTTTTATTTTTTATTATTCTCATGCTAATTATATAACTATAACCTTCTCTATCACATTATAGATTACCAATAAGGGATTCAAATTTAAGGATTAATGAAGATCGTCCAAAGCTTAAAAAATACGATAGAATAACAAATAAAGATAAATCACCTTCTGAAACTTTGGAAGATGCAAGAAAATATTTAACTGTTTTATTAACAGTAAAAAAAGAAAAGAAAATATAATTTCAACAAAAAAAAAAAAACAATTTAAAAAGAAAATAATCTAAAAAACAATTTGAAAAACAATTTTTTATTTTTTCCAAGTACTTTTTAAGAATTAAATAGAGGCATTATTATAATATATATTATAATAATAATTAATATGTATTATATAATATTTCTTTGTATTTTTTCAATTTAATTTTTCATTTTTCATTTTTCATTTCATTTTTGTAGAATATTTTATTTTTCATCTGCATCTCACACACACACAATATATTATTATACATATTATTATAATTAAATATACACCAAAAGTTTTATTTGATTTAACCATTGACTGACTTGACTGAATAATGAATAAACATGACTCGCACATAAAAAATACCCCTGATTTAACCGATAATTTTATTTTCAATTTATCTTTAAAATTAAAATCAATATTTCTGCTAATAAAAACGAACATTTAAGAGAAGAATACATCAAGTTTTCTATATATAGTCGCATGATTGGCCAGCTATTTGGATAAAATATATGGGTTGCGAAATATAAAATTACACGATTCGAATAACTTTTATTTTTATTTTTATTTTGCTAAAAATTTATGTAGCAGTAGGTTGCACAAAAATTTTGTGTGCTCAAAATTAATTTCTTCTCAAATCTCTGTGTTTCCCACTTATAACACCTGACGAAGATATCCATTATGGCTCCTTTGCCATTTATTGATGAAGAAAATACAAAAATATGTTATCTAATAAGAATTAATATGAGAATTAAGATTGAGCTCAATGAAAGAGAATTTATTATTCAAAACAGTTGTAAATACAAATGATGGTTATATATGTGCGGCAGATAATAATGCAATGATTTATTCAACACTAAGTCAAGTGTAAGTGGAAATTATAAAAATTTTTTGATAAAGAAACATATTTTGGACCAAGCAATTTTGAAATTGTTACTAATGATATTAAAATTTTTTGTAGCAGCACTTGGTAGTTCAGATGAGGAGTGGTTGAATTTTGCATGTTCTGGTTATTGTTCATCTTTTCATTATGGATACTCTGGAAAAAATTTTTCGATATACCAATCAATAAAATCAATAAATGCCAAAATTGTCAAATTGATATATATTTTCAAGGAAAAATAGTTTGTACACATACTAGAACAACTCCTACTATGTTTGGGAAAAGTGTTGGAAAGGAATTATTTGGTTTATGTGATCAACTTGTTATACAAGCAATTAAAAAACATATAGATACACTGGGATGTTATTGAAATCATGACAAATGCATTTAAGACGTCTTAAAAAGAAAATATCAGTTGTCAATATAGACTGGTGTCAATTTTTTTACCAAATGGAAACAACAGTCAACAATCATTATAGAATTTACTTCACATATTTGAGACTTGAACTATGAAAATCAACCTCTGGGGTCTCAGGACCAAAATCAAGATTTTTGATTCAATTTATTCTATTATACAAGGATTATAAATGGTTAAAGTTTTGAGTGATGTTGGCATAATAAAACCTTGTACAATCTAGTCTTCTTAGTTTTCATAGTGATTTTTCTTTTATCAAATTTGGAAATGCTTGACATTTATGCACATTTAACAAAAAAAATTTTTTATTATAATAAACATCTTTATATGGTTCACTAACATGTTGACGAATTTTTGAATACAAGTATTCTTTTCTTTTTTCTGATAAACAATACTACTCGACGAACCTCTGGATGATCAAGTAAATCAAAATTATTATTTTTTAAAAGTAAAAAAAAATTTTCTATTCCGTTTATTCTTTTGAAACATAATCTTTTTCAATATCATCTTTTTTAAAACAAAATTGATAATATTGTCTGATTTACTAATAGAGCTGTTTTTTAAAAAGGTAGGACGCGAGCCAACTATATAAACAAAAAAAAATTTGGTATCCTGGAGATCAATGGGGGAGATTTATCGGACCAAAAAATTTTTTTAACATCATTAAATAATAATAAAATAATTTCCTTCATAGTCCCTTTTATATATTGTTGATAATAATAAATAGTAACAATTGGCATTTTCTTAAGTCATAGTACTAGTAGCTATAGCAGTAGTAATGTAGATTACACAGTGAATCTCGATTTAGCGGATACTAATTAAAAATCTCGGTTTTACGGATAAAGTTCAAATAACGGTACCTTAATAAAAACCTTCTCGATATAATGGATATCTCGGTTTAACGGATTTTTGAAAAATTTTCCCAAATTACCCAAACTATCCGCCAAACCGAGATTCACTGTGTATAAATATAATTATTTTAATTCATATATCTTGTTAATCTTGTTAAAGGAAACAAGCCTTGTTTATAATTTTACAAATGGTTAATATTAATATAGAATTTGTTACATCAAGCTGTAAATTAATATTTTATAAAACAAATAAAACGAATTGAACGAATTGAACGAATAAAGCGAATAGAACGAATTGAACGAATAGAATTAATAATTCGAATAAACGAATAAAACGAATTGAACTAATTTTACGAATAAAATGGACAATTCAAATAAAACTAACTAATAATTCAAATAAAAAATATGCAACTGGAAAATGGTCTATTTCCAAAATTTTATTGGACATTCTAAAATTTTATCAGAATGCCCAGAATTTTATAATAGGATTCTACATATTGGTCTTCATCACCTTGTTTGATGCTAAGACACTTGTTGTGTAAATTGATCAAATAAATCGTTGGTTATTTAGTCATCTACATTCATTTATTGGTCAGAAATGAAATTGGATTGGTCAATTCTTTGGATGCAAAAAGAATTATTTTATTAGTTGTATTTCAAATTCAAGTATGTTTTAAAGATATATAAAGTAAATTACAAAATCAAGAAAGTAAGTACGTTTTAAAAATTCAGAGGTATATTTTAAATGTATATCACCATTTCTATTATTGTAAAAATAAGAATGTCTTAATTGTAAAAAAAGTATATTCATACATATTTGCAAGTAATTAGTGAATCTTTTTTTTTTTTTTAAGTATGTTTTGTAAAAAATAAGTATCTAAACTTTTTGTAGGGCAAAGGCTCATTTCTCATCAAAATCAGAACGAGATCATGATTGAATTTATCCATTATAGGTCTGATCGTTACATATTCATGGTAGTGATGTTAGCCGCTAGAAAAATCTTAGCCGGCTAGGCTGAACAACTCTTGGCCTGCTAAGAACTTAAATAAATCCCAGTTGACGAAAAGACTTTTCAGATGTAATAAGCTTGCCAGTATTTTTTTAAAAATATTACTATCGTTATTATTACTATAATTATTATTACTATTATTTCACTATTGTTATTATAATATCTCGCTTTTAATGGTTCGAATAAGGTTTGAGTGTTCGAATTACCTTGAAAGTTTATTCAAATAAACGAATAAAATGAATAATTTGAATAGAACAAATAATTCGAATAGAACAAATAATTTGGATAGAATGAATAATAATGATTCGAATTAAATTAAGAATTGAAACCTCTAATTATGGCTTTTGTCCTGCTACGATGTATTGTATTTTGATTTTTGAGCAAATGTATGATTTTTTGTCATTTTAAGTAATGTAGGTGGACCCATCATCTCAACTAAATGTCTGTGCCACTGAATTCTGCCCTAAAATTCCAGACGTAATTTTTTTTTACCGACTAAGCCGTGCAAGCCGATAAATTTCTTAGCCGGCTAACATCATTACCATAAAAATTTGCACACAGTTGTTGGAGTTTCTATTCGTAATAAAAATTCTTATTCAAATTATTCATAATACAGCTCAATATTATTAATATTGATATTAATTCGATTTATTCGTTTATTCGATTTATTTGCTTTATTCGTTCCATTCTCGCTTTATTCGTTTTATTCGTTTATTCGACTAAACTTTCAATGTAATTCGAATATTCAAATTCATAATAATAATGAATAAAACAAATAATTTGAATAAAATAGAAACCTTAAAACGTTATAATTTTTTTCAATTCATATATAAAATTCATCGTCTCCGCAAACTTTTTAAACGCCTTATTGTTTCAGGTTTTAAACCATAATTCCTTTGAGTAATTAAGTCTAGGCCTCCAGAAAAAACACGTTCAATCAGGACACTGGTTACTATAATAAATTTATTACATTAGGAATTGATAAATTTAATCCTAAATAAACAGAGTGCAAAAAATTAGACTGCCAAATAGTTTCTAGCCTTTCGAGCCGAACCGTCCGGAGCTTTATAAAATTGGCACATATCTCACTCAACTCAAGTGAATACTGACTTTACCATCTTGAAATAATTATAGTATCAATATGGGGACCTACGTTATTTCTATTGAGTGATGAAGCATGGCTATCAACTAAATTACTCCATTCATTACTATTTAACTAAGCATATGTTCCGTATTAATTTTTTTTAAAAAAAGAGAAGCCAAAAATCAACCAGAAAAGAATAAGCGTTATTGGAGCAATGTTTCCAAACCATTAGTTCAAGCTCTAGTTCTAGTTTAAATATCAAAATTAATTTTGCCAAATTCGACCAATTATCTAATGATGCATACATCTTCTTTTTGAAAGTTTTTTTTTTTGCATTACCTATCCTCAATATTTAAAGAGACCAGAAAGAAATATGCGAAATCCGTTAAAAATGGCAGTATATATTTGGCATTGCTTTTAATCGATATTTTTCACATCACAACCACTACCAAGATAATCAAAATTTATCAAAGATGTCACGTGACTATTTAACAACTCACACAACTTTAATTCTTGCCATTGAAAATGGTCGCCAGGTTGTATCAATCAATAAATTCAATCAATATAGCATTAATATTAAATAGAAAATGTTCTTCCATTAGCAATAATTTTTAATTAAGAGATTGGTGGGTAAGATCAAAATAGTTCATGCAAAAATTCATTGACAAGCTCTTCTCGTAATAATTTATGGGAAATAGGCATTCATGATGCATGTTATATATTTGAAAGGTTTATGCACAGCCTTTGATATTGTTGTGTGTGAAATTGAAACTGTGAAATCGAAATTTATAATTGAAATTTTGGGGTGGGTGGGATGTTTGGATATGAAATTCTGAATCCGCCGTGAACAAAAATTAGTTGCAGTAACACACGGTTAAAATGTCCCATCAAAAGGTGACTTGGCGATACATGACATATCAGTGTCAATAATACAAGCATATCAATAGATCTCTTGATTGTTGAGCAATAGCTGAGCATTTTTAACAATAGTATAATCTTGTTAATGTGAATCTTTGTCACAAAAGCTTGTATAGTCAATTATAAAATCATTTGTTTGCTATTATATCAATGAAAATATTAACACTGCCATTGAATCAGAATGAGAAACACCGAGAAAAAGAGAATTGAGTAAATGGATCAACTTGTGAGAGCTCGGTTGGAAGAATGCAAAAAAAAACCACCTGATGTCAAAAAGGATGCGAAAACCTGCTGTTCTCCTTTGAATTTGAAACTCACTTTTAAGTATGAAAAATCTTGTTCATTAAAAGACGAAACCTGAATTAACACACAAAGGAGAAAAAATCCTACAATCATATTTAGTAAAATATTTTGGTCTAAAGGTATTTCGTTCATTACACTATACTTCTTGAACCTGATCTGTGCCTGGAGAAAACTCGATCTTGTGTCGAAGCATAAAGAAACATCTTTAGCAAAAGTACTAAAACAAAAACGGAATTAATTACAAATAGAATCACGTATTTCAATTCAATGGAATGGCTTGCTGGTACAAAACGAATATTAAATGTGTGTGAACTTCATTTACCAAATTGGGTAGGTTTCTAACGTTAAAAATGTTAAAGTAACTGATAATGGCAGATGGTTAACTCAATTAAATAGAAAGAAAAGAAAAAAGCAAGATTTAAAATTCATTTTAAACGAAAGATTAGAAATAATTGGTGGAAAAAGAATGTAATAGCAACTAATGATATAAATAAGATGGAAATTCAGAATACAATCACTATTACTATATAAAAAATAACGACCGTTTATTATTCCCTACAATGTGTTTGCTGCATTTATACCAAACCAAATAGTAAAAATGTGAAGTTTATCCTCTTCTAAATTTCCAAGATTCCTTGCGGTATCGACTAGTTATTATTTTTTTTAGAATTAGTCGGGATGTTTTTCAACTGTCAATTAATCACCAAAAAAAAGTCGATTGTTAAATAAAGCAAATAATAATTATTTTATTTTATTTTATTAGAACATATATAATGTATATATGTATATGCATATAAAATATCATATAACAACTAATTCTTGTGTTTATATTCTCTCTCGTTTAATAATGGTTTTACGGTACGGTATCATGACGAAAATGATATATGACATAGAATGCATGAATTACACCTATAAAAAAAATTAGATCGATATGTTTAATATATAAAGATAATCAATTAAATAACCAAACTAGAATTAATTAATATTTTTTACCCGGTAAGAATCCTATTTGATTTTTTGAAGAAAAAAAATTATTTTTTAATAATTTAAAGGAAAATTATGTCAATTATTTATTTATTAAATCTTACCAAGAATAGTCAAACCAATATTAATCCTAAAAAATTAATAATGAAATAAAAATGTTACCAACAATTTATATGTTCACTAAAGAATACCCACAAAATAAAAAACCCAGATTTACCAAAAATCAGCCGCCAAACCTCTTTTCATAAATACACCAACTGGTGGTAAGAAAAATGCAAAAATCAATGAAAAAATATCATACGTTGAATATTCTGCCATGTTTTTTGTTCGTGTAGTTGGCAAGAAAAATGCAATCTAAACAACAAAAAACAAAATTGCCTTTATTTATAATGAACTCCTTGGAAATCACTACTATATATTTATAAAGACTAATAATAATATTAATCCAATAAAGAATAGAAATGATGACCCAATAATGACGCTGCCAAGGATGACATCAGTGCAAAAACTACTGTCCCAATTAAGAAATTCTTATTAGTCGCAGGACATTGCAGATCAAGCGTAATTCAATATAAATGTTACACGAATAAAATTATTATCGTTCACTTCTCCGTTTTTCATATAGCAAGCGATTTTCAACCATAATAAAATTTTTAGAGCCAGACAGGATACCGGGGTAATTATAAATGAACTATCATCATACATGTTGTGAAACTTTACACAATACCTAACCACATGTTCATCAAAGTCAATGCCATCCAACAACATAGTAAAATATGTATGTTTCTTTTAATGAAAGAAATCTTTTGACACCAAAACCTCATAAATCTATGTCATTTTTACCTCCATAAGGACTGTTTTTACACCCATTAAGGAGGTTACACGTAATATATAAAAGTAAAAAGTAACACTATCAAACTTTTTTTTTAATCCATTTTTTTAAAGATATCTTGACAAAATTTCATGCCCATAGCTTTTAAAATGGCCCAGGATGACAAATTTAGTCATATGTGCTGATTTTGTTTGAACCCCAAAATCCAGTACGGTATGATCATAACGTTATGAATACTTTATACTAGCAAAAACCCATTGGTTTTGAGGTGGGGCCATTGGTTTGACGGGTTGATGGATAGTAAATTAGTTTTTTTAGCGGAGCAAATAATTTTTTTTAGGGTAATTATCATTCTACCGACCAGTTTACACATTAAAAGTACTCGTGTTTAACATCGAGACACAATAAGACATAAGGTTTGAAAAAAGGCCCAAAAAACCAAATCGGCTGATATGTATAATTTTGTCATTATATTTTAACATTCTTTATCATGTGACGAAGCTCATGTAATTGTAATCGTTGAATTACCTTCTTTGGATCATGTTTTCTATCATTAGATAATAATAAGGTAATTGAAGCATAAGACTATTGAAACATGCAGCAATTAATTGATGTACTCAAAAGAAATCTCTGCTGCCATATTTAGCAACACACGACATAATTATAATTATTAGTTTTTGATTCTTTCTTTAATTCCATTGACAGCAATAATAAATAAATAAAATAATAGACCATTTATTAATAATATTATTAATAAGTAATGCACATTTTGAAATTCCTTTTAACCGTTCCGAAATTCATTGAAATGTTATGAATATATAATTTATGGGCATCGAAACAAATTTTAGATACGCATCATTTATGATCGATCATATTATATTGATATTATCTGTTTAATGAATTACAGGAAAAAATAAAGTCCATTACAATAAAATATATCTAATTAATATTAAATAAATCAATAAGATGTCAATTTTACCAATCGGCAAAAATGCTATATTTACATCTCAACTACAATTAAAATTAAAGAAAATTGTGACAACTATGAAGATTCTTCAAAAAAGAATGATTTCAAAAAAGCCTTATAATTTCCATGAATTTCCGTTAAATTTTGCGCAAGCTTTCAAATAAACCAGCTGCGATTTTTTACTTCATAAGCTTCAGGTCTAGCATATTCAAATGTAGCTTTACAAGCTTTTCCTGATTTTTTGCACCATGCAGTTGCAGTAATAAGCAGTTCACCAAACATCAAAGAAAATTCCACAGGTCTATCGAGCTGATATTTAACATCAGGTAATTCAATAAACAATTCTCCAATCAATCCCATACCAGGTTCATCACAAAATTTTTGATTATTTCTTGGTGTAGCATATATCTGGAAATTCATGCCTTTTTGGTCAGGGTAAACAGGGGAATAAGTGCTAGAAAAATCTTGAGTTGGTGAATATTCCACTCCACGTTTTGCTAAACAATCAAATTTGAATATATGATCATCTTCTGTTTTTTTTTCTAGTGGATCTCCTGTTACCCACTCTGAATATACACGCACACCTATATGATATATGTATATTAACATATATAAATATTATATAAATCAATGAATTTTAAAAAATAAACAAGCATACCATAATTCAATGTCAATTGACGTGTTGCAATAGCCTTTGTGTTTAAACCATAGATAACCCCTGTTTAAATTGTGTGTTAGTTAGTTCATTATAGAACCTAAATCCAGAATATTTTAAAAATAAATAAATTATATTCACCTCCACGTACAACAGCAGATATTGGATTTTGAGGCACGGAAATAATTGATACTTAAAAAAAATTACATATAATAAATTATTAATAACCAAATACAAACAAATGTAGTCTCGATTATTTCTGCAAAATACCTGTAGAACCAAATGCATTCTTTATTTTTGAGATAAGATATGGAGATTCTGAAAAACCTCCAGCCAAAAATAAAGCAGAACATTTTTCTTTTGAAGCTGTTAATTGATTACGGATTAAACGAATAATTCGGTTTATTACTGGATCAAACATTGCAAGAACATCTTCATAAGTAATCTCTAGTAACCAGTCCTCTGTTATAAAAAGTATAATTATTTGTTAACTTATTAATGAAACTCATAATAGTTTACATGTTCTTATTAATTAACATTTCACCTTTTCTCAATTTATCACTAATATCTTTGGTTATATAATCCTTAAGCGCTGGACAGAATCTTCCAATGTCCAAGTCTGTTGCATCAAAACTATCACCATCAAACCCAAACTTTATTTCTGGACAAAAGAAATGATGAATTAAATATTGATACTCATCATAATGATTTTCTTTAAAATCACTCATTGCTTTAGATCCTAGTTCATTTTTTAAGAAAGTAATAAATTCATCATCAACATAAGTTGATCCGCAGAAATCTCCTGTTCGTTCACTAACTTCTGATAAAGTATCACTGGTTGCTAATTTTCGAGTTGTTAAATCCACTGTGCCACCTCCACAATCCACTACCATAAATGTAGCTGATTATTATAATAAAAGCAAAATTATCATTAAAGCTGTTGAAAACACCTGGTATCAAATTTTCTTTAAATATATTTACATCCTTCTTTCAACAAATGTTCATTCAATTTATCCATACAATACAGTGCGACTGCTTCAGCTGGTAAATATATATATAAAAATATGTAAGTCAATTAGTGTTAACTTCTAAAACTATGGAGTTTTGCAACTGTTGAAAGTCAAAACTAGTTTTGGCTTTAGGCATATAACATATAATTTTAGTTTTGATTTTCGCCTCTTCGAAATAGTTTAGGTGACCAACACTAAAGTCAATTAATTTTGAATATAAGATTAAGATGCAACGATTCCTTACGTTCTGTAATAAATTCTAAATTATTATTTGAATTTTCATTTTCTAAATAACCAGCGGCATATATACACTCTTGTAATACTCCGATAGTCCCTGGACCCCTAAAGATTTAGTAATTTCATACAAGATCAATATCATTATTATGACTATCATGACTCTGTTTAAATCCTTACCACTCGGCTGGAACTGTAAAGACTAATCTAACTTGATTAGGAAAGCTTACAGTAGGCCAACGTTTTGTAATAGTTTCTGAAATTAACTGAAGTTCAAAAAAATTAATGAGATGAAATGATATAATTATGTTTTATGGAGAATAGAATTATTTCAAAACTATTAACTGGTTTCATGGCTTTTAGATAATCAGCAATTGCTTTACGATAATCTAGTCCTGCAGGCATGCGTATTTTATCTGATCTTTTTGAGTCATATTTAAGAAGTAATTTAAAATATTCTACAGGTTTTGATACGGGTTCTACTGCATTATTTCTTCTTCTCCTAGGTTCTCGGGCCAACGCTTGATAACCCCATGCTATGACTTTATCGTATGAATTATCGTATTGTAAAACTGTATTATTTTTTGGAGCTTTGAATCGTGTCTTATTTTGACCTGGCCTGTCAAAAAGTACAAAAATAATATATATTTATGTATATTTAAATACTGCTTTGTTAGATATTAGTAATTTTTGTTATTATATGTTTACCATGAATCATGACTAGTAATATCTGCTGGTCTGGCAATGTGAGCATAAGCGAAACCTGAAAATTAAGAATTAAATTATAGTCCACGATTTTATTTTATTGTTACTAAACCTAAATTCATGTTTGCTAATTTACTAACCGGAATAAGTCGTTCCAAAATCTAAAATTTACAAAAGAATAAGTTTTTTAAATAAAGCAAAATTAATTTCATTTATTCATCTTTTGATTAAATACCAATAGCAACTACTACAGGATAGCTCATCTTTGTATAAATTTTCTTTTTTTTTCTTTGATCTAAAAAAAAAATAAAAAATACAATAATAATTTATAAAGCCTAATAAACCACTTTTATTAATCAATTAATTCGAAAACGGAAATGGTTGTGCAAGGCTATTCAATTTTAAATGTAAATGGTCAATTCGTTTAAGTAGTTACCATTCAATCATTTAAAAAAATCTGTGATAATAATAAATGGTCAATTCGTTTAAGTATCTACCATTCAATCCTATTTTGGCTTATCCATTTAAAAACAACAATAATAATAATAAATGGTCAATTCTTTAGGCGTTAAGCAAATCTATTTTTAGTTTTATTGTTAAAAAATAAATAATATATTCGTTTAGCATTGTATTGAGATGGAATATTTTCTTGATTTAGTCAAACCATTTAAACAATGGAAATACAAACTATACTAACTAAAAGGAGATTTGTACTCGATGTATTTACGCAAAAAAAATTTAAAAATGAAAGATATCCTTATTAATAACTAGGGAATGTTAACAAACGCTATTTGCCCGAGTATGCAAAGGTTAGGGCAACTAATGAATGTTAACAATAATTAGTAAATGCTATTTACTTTAGTGAAGCATTGTCTAAAGGTTAATTGGAAGTACTGTTAGCGTTATTCTAATAAATTGTTATAGCAAATATAAGGATGTTAAACGAGCTGTTTGTAAATAAATAAAGCAAGCTTGCAATCAGCCAATAAATAAAAACAAGTATAAACGACTGAAATAAGCCAGTCACTAGTGAATAAAAGGAACTTTTGGGTTTAACAAATGGTCCATATTCGTTTGTTTACAGTTATCATATATTGTTCAGGGTGTTTACAGATTCTCCAAAGCTTTCTAGGTACAAGAAAAAGGCAGAAAGCGGGAATCAAAGTAAAGTTCGTAAACTAATTGGTTGATAAGCGTCAAATTATTGTGTATTAACTGACAAAAGTAATCCAAAAGTTAAACCATCGTCAGCCATATGCATCAAATAATCAGCGCTAACAGAAAGGTTACCTTGCAATATAAATTTCTAAATATATCCCTATCATTTGATTCATCTTCAGCTAGTCCAAATTCAAGCTTCAGAAAAAAATTTATTTTAAAGATTGATCAAGACTTAACTCAAGTATTGATTCCTGATGAGATGTACCAGTATTTGACATAGAGTTATTTGATCGTTACTTTTCCTTGTAGACTTATTTCTGCATAGTAATTTTTTGAAGGAGGCAGATATAGCATATCAAACAGGCCTTTCAATGAAGGATCTCTTTCTTCGATCATTTTTACAAATTCATCAAGATCATTAACAATTAATTTTTTTACGATGTTGATACTGTATAAAACAGAAGATGACCATATTTACAAATTTGATTGTTTAGCAAAACGTGGAATAGAATATTCACCTACTCAAGGTTTTCCCGGAACATATTATCCTGTTTACGCTCATCAAAAAGGTATAGAATTCGAGGTATATGCTACACCAAGAAATAATCAAAAATTTTGTGATGAACCTGGTATGGAATTGATTGGAAAATTGTATATTAAATTACCTGATGAGTATTCAGTCGATAGACCTGTGGAATTTACTTTGATGTTTGGAGAACTACTTATCAATGCAACTGCACGGTGCAAAAAATCCGGAACACTTTGTAAAGCTACATTTGAATATACTAAACCTGGAGCCTATGGAGTATCTTCTAATAAATAGCTGCTGTTATGAAATTTTGCGTAAAATTTAACAGAGATTCACGGAAATTATAAATTTTTTTTGAAACGATTGTTTTTTGAAGAATCTTCACAGTTATTACAATTTTCTTTAACCTTAATTGTAATTGAGGTGTAAATATATCATTTTTATCACTTGGTAAAATTGATATTTTATTCATTTTAAATATTTTTCATATTATCAATAAAAATAAAAAGGTTAATTGTGGGTTAAATCTCAATTTTTCTTACTAATTAATAATGTCTTCATAAAAACATAAACTTCAACTTATTGCTATTGGTAAACTCGTTCCAACATTCATTATGGTCCATTCACTGTAAAACTGGATTTTTGATAATCGAAAAATGCCTGAAGGAGAAAAACAAAACATGCATATTATTCGTGTTGTTAGTGGAAATAACAATACTAGGTCAGGCCATGTTTGTTTGGAATAAAAATTATTATTTATAAATAAAATAAATATATTATTACCCATTCTTTTTTTATTTATTTATTTACGTGCAAAAAACAATTGAACAAAATGTACATAACTGATAATAAATTTATACCAGTATAAATTGATAGTCGCGTTGAAGCCATTTTTTCTGATTGTACACTGTCAATTCCGTTCTTTAGAAAAAAATTTTTAATAAAATCATACTGTACATACTTTAATAATAGTAGTAAACTAGATATCCGTTTTTGTTAATTACTTTTTTTGAAATAAAAATTAATAGCAATTATTTTTGAAGAAAATGATTAGTATAATTAATAGCATAATAATAAATTAAAATTCCATTATTATAATAATATATAAAGTTTCTTTTAAAAATAATGAATGATAAACCATCATATTATTCAAGAACCATATGTCTGCTGCTAACTACTTAGAAGTCCCTGATATTCTAATTTTTGCACTTTGCTTATTTATAATTAAATTTATAAACCTATTATAACAATCAATATTCCAATTGAACGATTTTTTTCTGGGGACACAAACTTAATTAATTAAAGGTGTTGTAGTTTGGAACCTGAAGCAACAAGAGTTTAAAAAGTTTGCGGAGACGATTAATTTTATACATGAATTGAAAAAAAATAGAACTTCCTTAGGGTTTCTATTCGAATAAGGTTTGTTCGAATTATTTGTTTTTTCTTTTTGTTCGAGTTGCTCGTTTTGTTCGTTTTGTTCGTTTTGTTCGTTTTGTTCGTTTTGTTCGTTTTGTACGTTTTGTACGTTTTGTTTGTTTTGTTCGTTTTGTTCGTTTTGTTCGTTTTGTTCGAATTATTTGTTTAATTCGAATTATTCGACTAAAATTTCAATGTAATTCGAATGCTCAATTTCATAACGAATGAATAAAACGAATAATTCGAATAAGAAATTGCATTACGAATAGTAATAGGCACAAATTTTTGTAGTACATCTATGAATGTATTTATACATGGCATTATGTATGAAATGAGTAAAATTAAATCATAGTCTTTCATTTCTAATTTTAGACCTTCGCTACCATGTATTTAGAAACAGGATCCTTTCAGTATCTCTACTTTTCAATACATTCGCCAAAACCAAGCTACAAGTTATTCGTGAAGTTATTGTGTATAGTTACGAATTTAGAATGCCTGAAATTTTTGTGTTAAATGTAAGCCGAAAAACTGAATCGAACTGTTCGGAGCTTTAGATGGTATATAGTGTTGGTTTTCAAAACTGTGGAGTTTCGCAACTGTGCGAAATTCAAAAGGTTTCGCCATATAAGTCGAAACTAGTTTTGACATTTAACTTTTAATTTTAATTTTGACTTTCGCCTCTTCAACACAGTTTTGGTAACCAACACTAATAGTATACAGTTTTCTTATTTTAAAAAGACACTTCTGTTTTATACAGTATCAACATCGTAAAAAAATTAATTGTTAATGATCTTGATGAATTTGTAAAAATGATCGAAGAAAGAGATCCTTCATTGAAAGGCCTGTTTGATATGCTATATCTGCCTCCTTCAAAAAATTACTATGCAGAAATAAGTCTACAAGGAAAAGTAACGATCAATAAGATGTCAATTTTACCAATCGGCAAAAATGCTATATTTACATCTCAACTACAATTAAAATTAAAGAAAATTGTGACAACTATGAAGATTCTTCAAAAAAGAATGATTTCAAAAAAGCCTTATAATTTCCATGAATTTCCGTTAAATTTTGCGCAAGCTTTCAAATAAACCAGCTGCGATTTTTTACTTCATAAGCTTCAGGTCTAGCATATTCAAATGTAGCTTTACAAGCTTTTCCTGATTTTTTGCACCATGCAGTTGCAGTAATAAGCAGTTCACCAAACATCAAAGAAAATTCCACAGGTCTATCGAGTGTTCTGGTTATTGTTCATCTTTTCATTATGGATACTCTGGAAAAAATTTTTCGATATACCAATCAATAAAATCAATAAATGCCAAAATTGTCAAATTGATATATATTTTCAAGGAAAAATAGTTTGTACACATACTAGAACAACTCCTACTATGTTTGGGAAAAGTGTTGGAAAGGAATTATTTGGTTTATGTGATCAACTTGTTATACAAGCAATTAAAAAACATATAGATACACTGGGATGTTATTGAAATCATGACAAATGCATTTAAGACGTCTTAAAAAGAAAATATCAGTTGTCAATATAGACTGGTGTCAATTTTTTTACCAAATGGAAACAACAGTCAACAATCATTATAGAATTTACTTCACATATTTGAGACTTGAACTATGAAAATCAACCTCTGGGGTCTCAGGACCAAAATCAAGATTTTTGATTCAATTTATTCTATTATACAAGGATTATAAATGGTTAAAGTTTTGAGTGATGTTGGCATAATAAAACCTTGTACAATCTAGTCTTCTTAGTTTTCATAGTGATTTTTCTTTTATCAAATTTGGAAATGCTTGACATTTATGCACATTTAACAAAAAAAATTTTTTATTATAATAAACATCTTTATATGGTTCACTAACATGTTGACGAATTTTTGAATACAAGTATTCTTTTCTTTTTTCTGATAAACAATACTACTCGACGAACCTCTGGATGATCAAGTAAATCAAAATTATTATTTTTTAAAAGTAAAAAAAAATTTTCTATTCCGTTTATTCTTTTGAAACATAATCTTTTTCAATATCATCTTTTTTAAAACAAAATTGATAATATTGTCTGATTTACTAATAGAGCTGTTTTTTAAAAAGGTAGGACGCGAGCCAACTATATAAACAAAAAAAAATTTGGTATCCTGGAGATCAATGGGGGAGATTTATCGGACCAAAAAATTTTTTTAACATCATTAAATAATAATAAAATAATTTCCTTCATAGTCCCTTTTATATATTGTTGATAATAATAAATAGTAACAATTGGCATTTTCTTAAGTCATAGTACTAGTAGCTATAGCAGTAGTAATGTAGATTACACAGTGAATCTCGATTTAGCGGATACTAATTAAAAATCTCGGTTTTACGGATAAAGTTCAAATAACGGTACCTTAATAAAAACCTTCTCGATATAATGGATATCTCGGTTTAACGGATTTTTGAAAAATTTTCCCAAATTACCCAAACTATCCGCCAAACCGAGATTCACTGTGTATAAATATAATTATTTTAATTCATATATCTTGTTAATCTTGTTAAAGGAAACAAGCCTTGTTTATAATTTTACAAATGGTTAATATTAATATAGAATTTGTTACATCAAGCTGTAAATTAATATTTTATAAAACAAATAAAACGAATTGAACGAATTGAACGAATAAAGCGAATAGAACGAATTGAACGAATAGAATTAATAATTCGAATAAACGAATAAAACGAATTGAACTAATTTTACGAATAAAATGGACAATTCAAATAAAACTAACTAATAATTCAAATAAAAAATATGCAACTGGAAAATGGTCTATTTCCAAAATTTTATTGGACATTCTAAAATTTTATCAGAATGCCCAGAATTTTATAATAGGATTCTACATATTGGTCTTCATCACCTTGTTTGATGCTAAGACACTTGTTGTGTAAATTGATCAAATAAATCGTTGGTTATTTAGTCATCTACATTCATTTATTGGTCAGAAATGAAATTGGATTGGTCAATTCTTTGGATGCAAAAAGAATTATTTTATTAGTTGTATTTCAAATTCAAGTATGTTTTAAAGATATATAAAGTAAATTACAAAATCAAGAAAGTAAGTACGTTTTAAAAATTCAGAGGTATATTTTAAATGTATATCACCATTTCTATTATTGTAAAAATAAGAATGTCTTAATTGTAAAAAAAGTATATTCATACATATTTGCAAGTAATTAGTGAATCTTTTTTTTTTTTTAAGTATGTTTTGTAAAAAATAAGTATCTAAACTTTTTGTAGGGCAAAGGCTCATTTCTCATCAAAATCAGAACGAGATCATGATTGAATTTATCCATTATAGGTCTGATCGTTACATATTCATGGTAGTGATGTTAGCCGCTAGAAAAATCTTAGCCGGCTAGGCTGAACAACTCTTGGCCTGCTAAGAACTTAAATAAATCCCAGTTGACGAAAAGACTTTTCAGATGTAATAAGCTTGCCAGTATTTTTTTAAAAATATTACTATCGTTATTATTACTATAATTATTATTACTATTATTTCACTATTGTTATTATAATATCTCGCTTTTAATGGTTCGAATAAGGTTTGAGTGTTCGAATTACCTTGAAAGTTTATTCAAATAAACGAATAAAATGAATAATTTGAATAGAACAAATAATTCGAATAGAACAAATAATTTGGATAGAATGAATAATAATGATTCGAATTAAATTAAGAATTGAAACCTCTAATTATGGCTTTTGTCCTGCTACGATGTATTGTATTTTGATTTTTGAGCAAATGTATGATTTTTTGTCATTTTAAGTAATGTAGGTGGACCCATCATCTCAACTAAATGTCTGTGCCACTGAATTCTGCCCTAAAATTCCAGACGTAATTTTTTTTTACCGACTAAGCCGTGCAAGCCGATAAATTTCTTAGCCGGCTAACATCATTACCATAAAAATTTGCACACAGTTGTTGGAGTTTCTATTCGTAATAAAAATTCTTATTCAAATTATTCATAATACAGCTCAATATTATTAATATTGATATTAATTCGATTTATTCGTTTATTCGATTTATTTGCTTTATTCGTTCCATTCTCGCTTTATTCGTTTTATTCGTTTATTCGACTAAACTTTCAATGTAATTCGAATATTCAAATTCATAATAATAATGAATAAAACAAATAATTTGAATAAAATAGAAACCTTAAAACGTTATAATTTTTTTCAATTCATATATAAAATTCATCGTCTCCGCAAACTTTTTAAACGCCTTATTGTTTCAGGTTTTAAACCATAATTCCTTTGAGTAATTAAGTCTAGGCCTCCAGAAAAAACACGTTCAATCAGGACACTGGTTACTATAATAAATTTATTACATTAGGAATTGATAAATTTAATCCTAAATAAACAGAGTGCAAAAAATTAGACTGCCAAATAGTTTCTAGCCTTTCGAGCCGAACCGTCCGGAGCTTTATAAAATTGGCACATATCTCACTCAACTCAAGTGAATACTGACTTTACCATCTTGAAATAATTATAGTATCAATATGGGGACCTACGTTATTTCTATTGAGTGATGAAGCATGGCTATCAACTAAATTACTCCATTCATTACTATTTAACTAAGCATATGTTCCGTATTAATTTTTTTTAAAAAAAGAGAAGCCAAAAATCAACCAGAAAAGAATAAGCGTTATTGGAGCAATGTTTCCAAACCATTAGTTCAAGCTCTAGTTCTAGTTTAAATATCAAAATTAATTTTGCCAAATTCGACCAATTATCTAATGATGCATACATCTTCTTTTTGAAAGTTTTTTTTTTTGCATTACCTATCCTCAATATTTAAAGAGACCAGAAAGAAATATGCGAAATCCGTTAAAAATGGCAGTATATATTTGGCATTGCTTTTAATCGATATTTTTCACATCACAACCACTACCAAGATAATCAAAATTTATCAAAGATGTCACGTGACTATTTAACAACTCACACAACTTTAATTCTTGCCATTGAAAATGGTCGCCAGGTTGTATCAATCAATAAATTCAATCAATATAGCATTAATATTAAATAGAAAATGTTCTTCCATTAGCAATAATTTTTAATTAAGAGATTGGTGGGTAAGATCAAAATAGTTCATGCAAAAATTCATTGACAAGCTCTTCTCGTAATAATTTATGGGAAATAGGCATTCATGATGCATGTTATATATTTGAAAGGTTTATGCACAGCCTTTGATATTGTTGTGTGTGAAATTGAAACTGTGAAATCGAAATTTATAATTGAAATTTTGGGGTGGGTGGGATGTTTGGATATGAAATTCTGAATCCGCCGTGAACAAAAATTAGTTGCAGTAACACACGGTTAAAATGTCCCATCAAAAGGTGACTTGGCGATACATGACATATCAGTGTCAATAATACAAGCATATCAATAGATCTCTTGATTGTTGAGCAATAGCTGAGCATTTTTAACAATAGTATAATCTTGTTAATGTGAATCTTTGTCACAAAAGCTTGTATAGTCAATTATAAAATCATTTGTTTGCTATTATATCAATGAAAATATTAACACTGCCATTGAATCAGAATGAGAAACACCGAGAAAAAGAGAATTGAGTAAATGGATCAACTTGTGAGAGCTCGGTTGGAAGAATGCAAAAAAAAACCACCTGATGTCAAAAAGGATGCGAAAACCTGCTGTTCTCCTTTGAATTTGAAACTCACTTTTAAGTATGAAAAATCTTGTTCATTAAAAGACGAAACCTGAATTAACACACAAAGGAGAAAAAATCCTACAATCATATTTAGTAAAATATTTTGGTCTAAAGGTATTTCGTTCATTACACTATACTTCTTGAACCTGATCTGTGCCTGGAGAAAACTCGATCTTGTGTCGAAGCATAAAGAAACATCTTTAGCAAAAGTACTAAAACAAAAACGGAATTAATTACAAATAGAATCACGTATTTCAATTCAATGGAATGGCTTGCTGGTACAAAACGAATATTAAATGTGTGTGAACTTCATTTACCAAATTGGGTAGGTTTCTAACGTTAAAAATGTTAAAGTAACTGATAATGGCAGATGGTTAACTCAATTAAATAGAAAGAAAAGAAAAAAGCAAGATTTAAAATTCATTTTAAACGAAAGATTAGAAATAATTGGTGGAAAAAGAATGTAATAGCAACTAATGATATAAATAAGATGGAAATTCAGAATACAATCACTATTACTATATAAAAAATAACGACCGTTTATTATTCCCTACAATGTGTTTGCTGCATTTATACCAAACCAAATAGTAAAAATGTGAAGTTTATCCTCTTCTAAATTTCCAAGATTCCTTGCGGTATCGACTAGTTATTATTTTTTTTAGAATTAGTCGGGATGTTTTTCAACTGTCAATTAATCACCAAAAAAAAGTCGATTGTTAAATAAAGCAAATAATAATTATTTTATTTTATTTTATTAGAACATATATAATGTATATATGTATATGCATATAAAATATCATATAACAACTAATTCTTGTGTTTATATTCTCTCTCGTTTAATAATGGTTTTACGGTACGGTATCATGACGAAAATGATATATGACATAGAATGCATGAATTACACCTATAAAAAAAATTAGATCGATATGTTTAATATATAAAGATAATCAATTAAATAACCAAACTAGAATTAATTAATATTTTTTACCCGGTAAGAATCCTATTTGATTTTTTGAAGAAAAAAAATTATTTTTTAATAATTTAAAGGAAAATTATGTCAATTATTTATTTATTAAATCTTACCAAGAATAGTCAAACCAATATTAATCCTAAAAAATTAATAATGAAATAAAAATGTTACCAACAATTTATATGTTCACTAAAGAATACCCACAAAATAAAAAACCCAGATTTACCAAAAATCAGCCGCCAAACCTCTTTTCATAAATACACCAACTGGTGGTAAGAAAAATGCAAAAATCAATGAAAAAATATCATACGTTGAATATTCTGCCATGTTTTTTGTTCGTGTAGTTGGCAAGAAAAATGCAATCTAAACAACAAAAAACAAAATTGCCTTTATTTATAATGAACTCCTTGGAAATCACTACTATATATTTATAAAGACTAATAATAATATTAATCCAATAAAGAATAGAAATGATGACCCAATAATGACGCTGCCAAGGATGACATCAGTGCAAAAACTACTGTCCCAATTAAGAAATTCTTATTAGTCGCAGGACATTGCAGATCAAGCGTAATTCAATATAAATGTTACACGAATAAAATTATTATCGTTCACTTCTCCGTTTTTCATATAGCAAGCGATTTTCAACCATAATAAAATTTTTAGAGCCAGACAGGATACCGGGGTAATTATAAATGAACTATCATCATACATGTTGTGAAACTTTACACAATACCTAACCACATGTTCATCAAAGTCAATGCCATCCAACAACATAGTAAAATATGTATGTTTCTTTTAATGAAAGAAATCTTTTGACACCAAAACCTCATAAATCTATGTCATTTTTACCTCCATAAGGACTGTTTTTACACCCATTAAGGAGGTTACACGTAATATATAAAAGTAAAAAGTAACACTATCAAACTTTTTTTTTAATCCATTTTTTTAAAGATATCTTGACAAAATTTCATGCCCATAGCTTTTAAAATGGCCCAGGATGACAAATTTAGTCATATGTGCTGATTTTGTTTGAACCCCAAAATCCAGTACGGTATGATCATAACGTTATGAATACTTTATACTAGCAAAAACCCATTGGTTTTGAGGTGGGGCCATTGGTTTGACGGGTTGATGGATAGTAAATTAGTTTTTTTAGCGGAGCAAATAATTTTTTTTAGGGTAATTATCATTCTACCGACCAGTTTACACATTAAAAGTACTCGTGTTTAACATCGAGACACAATAAGACATAAGGTTTGAAAAAAGGCCCAAAAAACCAAATCGGCTGATATGTTGATTTTTGCTGTGGGATGATAGTTCATTTATAATTACCTGGTGTCCTAGCCAGACTGGGACTTTTAACAACAGTTAAAAGAAAAGGCTAGCTTAAATATTGGTTATTCTATGCCAGGTCGGAAGTGTTTCTTTTCTTCACACTTATTTTAAGATTATCGCTCAACTATAATGCAGACTAAAGCCAATTCATCAGCAACAGTTGTGCCAAAGTGTTCCCTACAAAGTCACTTATAACCACTTGGAAGGTTGTGTTAGAAAAAATTTGTTTTTAATTATAAGGGACTGATTTATAGTTATTTATAAGGTTATTAATTTATTTAGAATTTTAAAATTACATGGTCAAAATTTCAAAATAATAATAATAATAATAATAGTTAATTTATTTGTTTGATAATTATGAATACAAAGAATTGGAGAAATAATAATTAACAATAAAGAAATTTATTTATTAATGATAGACCTTTGGCTGTACATCAAGCAAGGATTGAATATTCGGAACAAAGCTCTAAAGGGTTGTGGTGGTAATGATGGTGACAGTGGTAATAATCATAATTCCATGGATACAAGTTGGTAATAAAAAAATAAAAAAGTAATCAATAATTAATAGTTTATGCAACATTACATACATATCCTTTTAATAATTTATTATTAATAGTATATTGTTATTATAGGAATATTAATTGGAATGTTGTGATGTTGAATTTCTATCAAATACAAAAAAATAAACATCAGTGCTTGTAATCTTGAAATAATTGGTCATCTTCTGATCAATTGATATGACTTTAACTCAAAATTTTATGTTATTTATTTATATTAGTATAAATAAAACCATTAATAATCATTAATAAAATTTTCTTTTCTTTTAACCTATATACTACTTTTTTAATAATTAATTTCTGCTTTTTACTATTGCTTTGAATTACTTTGCAATTATAAATTTTGAAAAAGCGGACAAGAGTTTTAAAAATAGTAGTATATTACATATTAATATCATCACCATCAGATCCTGCTAATGCATTAATAAATAAATACTCTTTAATTTAATCATTACACTTCTAAATATATATAAAAAATAATAGAAAATGGATAAAAAAAATTAGTAATATATAGTATGAAGCTAATCTTTAAAAATATTAAAAAAACCAAATTATCTCCATTTTATTAATAGCCATTCTTGAAAAGAGTTGGAATACTCTTACCACACCTACCTCGGTTACACGAATCCCAACCCAGAACTCCCATGATTGGTAGAAAATAAGGAAATCTTATCTTAAAAAAACCTTGTCATGTAAACGATGTAGGTGTGGTAAGAGTTTTCAAAGAGTTGTTACATGAATTTGTTTTTGTTTGAAAATATTAAATAAATATCAATAAAATTTTGTTTGATACAATCTTCTATTTGATGATACCTCATTACCCTATTACCCAATTTGGCATCATTTGACCAGTAAAGAGAGAACCAATAGATTATATATAAACAAAGAAAAATGGGAGCACAAAAGAATTTTAAATCATGCACAAACATAACGACTTGATAGCTTTATTGACATAGTAATGCAATCTTGCAATTTTTTTATTGTATATTTTAATTATAATTGATCATGTCATTAATAAAACAAACATGACTTAGCAATTTAATCATTTCCTTCATTCCCTTGCATGTGAATGCCTCCATCCATCAAATATTCATGATGGTCATGATGATTATTCGATACATTTGATGTTATAATTGACATAACAAACAATTGCATCACCCAGGTTGTAATAATATCAAGTCCATGCAAAAATGAAACTTTAATAATGCGTGTCTACCCAGATCTCTGGGATTTTTACAAAATAAATTACTTTTCCTGATTATCAATTATGGTTGCTCATGAATAATAAATCTGATGTTGATCACAGGTGTCAGATTTAATTAAAAATTTCCTGTCACAAACATGCAAGTGCTGTGCAATTAAACACGTTCCATAACTGTGGAATTTTCTCCATAGGTGAAACGATTGAACATGTTAGAAGGCTTTGGACAAAACTTTCCTTTATCTTCCCCTAGACCAGGCTTGGCTGTTATCATATGGGCATTGATCACTGATAACTGACATTTGTGTGATGATTGCTTTGTGTTATACCTCTCCAATACAAAGTTGGTGTCTGCAACTGGTTGAAAATTCTGCAACTCAGAAGGTTGCAACCTGGGTTGCTGTTTTGGATTTTCCCTGAATTCACAGTTTTGAGTCCTGGGTTGCTGTAATTTTTATGAAAAAAAAGGTATTAATATTTAACAATTAATTATTTAAATGTTTATTTTGTTGAAAAAATATACATTGATAGTGTACATTTTCTGTGCTTAACATCCATGTGACCCTAAGTCTGGACAAAAGATCCCTTTCTATGAGTTTGGCTGGTATATCTCAAAGGCGTCTCCTGTCTTGTCAGTGGCATGCCAACTCACCAACAACCCTACCCCCATTTAAATATCAAATTCAGTTGGTCAGATAAAAATTAAAGAGAAACAGAGAATTTATGAAAGTGATTATACAAAACAAACACTATTTTACAACTTTCCTCTTAACATCAGAACCCAATGCAATTTCAGGGCCACCAACCCTGCTCTGAATTGTGACCTCCTGTGCTTGAAACAAGTTGCAGGTTCTCATTGCTTTGATAGATCTGGATATTTACATGGCACTACAATTCATCAGCAGAGTTGCGACAGCTTGGTCACAGTGCCATCCTTGCCCTAGAGGTGGAATCGTTACAAGCAACTTTTCAGCTAGCGTGGCAGCGGCCTTCTCTGGTGAGGGAAGATTAGTGAAAGTGTCATTGACGATTGATACAGTCTTGATAAAATCCAGAGCCTTGGGCCTCCCCCCTGGAATTCAGTAGCATCATTGTATCATCGAGAGCATCGTGGTCAGATTAGCCTTATGTACACAAGGAAGATGTGAATGACTGTAACGTTCAAGGTAGTGTGTGTGCTTCAACACCTGCCAATTTCCGATAATCAAATGTTGCATATTTGAAATGTTCCTTTTTCAACAGTGTGCTGCCTTGACATCTTGTAATTAATAATATTTATAATAATACTATTAATATTGATTACGAAAAGTAAAATATTATCAATGAAAATCTTGTAATTACCCAACAATGATCTGCTCCACGTTTTGATTTCCAATTAAAATATTAAAATATTTATATAAAATAAAAATACACCACATACATATCAATACAAGTAAAAAATAGTACCTCTGGTTAATTATTAACATGCTTTCTTTAGGAGACCAAAACCAAACCAAACAACAACACTCACGTTTTGTCACCTTGGACTCTGTCAAAAAATAATTTGTTTTTTGTTTTTCCAAAAAAAAAAAAAAAAAAAAATCAATTCGCGTCTGTCCTACCAAAAAAAAGCCAATAGGATAAATAATTAATGTGTGCGCGTCAATCAATTAACAAACTTTTATTAAAAAAATTTTTTTAAAAATGTCCAATTACAAAAATTTGAGAAGAAAAATCACTGATCGTGATAATAGAGAAGGGTAAGTGTTTTAAGGATGGTGGTGGTTATCGCCCGCCGCTCGTCGTTACCCTAGTTAATAATGTTAAGAATGGATGAAATACTATAGATTAAAACTTTACATTTGCTCATATTTATACTTCTTAGATTCTTGCTTAATGAGACTAATACTACAATCGAACAGAAACATATTAATATCAGAAATGGCATAATAAATAATTTATTAGAAATTCACGATAAGGAACGCGTACCCATCATCCCAGCTAACATAATAACAGAATTAGACAAATGCATAAAAATTACATCGGGTAAGCTTCATAATTTAATAAGAAAAATCAACGAAAACGCGTTTATAAAACAGAAAAATCGTATTAATGATCCATATTAACTACACAGAATGGATAGGCAATGTCAACGATGATAATAATAACAACGATAATGATAATATAGGTGACATTGACAACGATGTTGACGACGACAATATAGAAGACAACAATGTCGTTGACGATAATAATATTAATGTAGTTGGCAACAATGTTGGCAATGATATCGATGACAACAATGTAGACGACAACAATGTCGTTGACAATAGTAATATCAATAAAGGTAATATACCAATTATGTAATTATGTAACAAGATTATATGATTTTTTTTTCTTCAGTTCTTTGTTAATAATATTCTTTTAACAACAAAGATCAATCATCGTCAAAAGTTACTGGTAGTGGTAGAGACAAAAGTCTTGGAAAAGGAGGTGCTAAACGTCATCGTAAGATCATTCGAGATAATGTTCAAGGAATAACTAAACCGGCGATTAGAAGACTTGCTCGTCGAGGAGGCGTGAAACGTATTTCTGGTCTCGTTTATGAGGAAACTCGTGGTGTATTAAAAGTGTTTCTTGAAAATGTAATTAGGGTATGTAACAATAATAATAAACAAATAATAATTAATAATAATAACACTGACTTGCTTTTTTGTTATGAATCACCTTTTATTATCTTTTAGGATGTGGTAACTTACACGGAAAATGCAAATCGTAAAACAGTCATGTCTTTGGATGTCGGTGAGTATATCTTATTATTAATACATATGTGCTGCAATACATTAATTATCTTTTGATCAATAACTGGTTAAATAAATAATTAATTAATTAATTTAAACAACAAGTCTATGCGCTTAAACGTCAAGGACACACTCTTTATGGTTTCGGTGGTTAAAAGTGACCCAAAAAGGAAATATATATAGTTTGTCTCTTTTCTTTATCATTACTATTACCTAAAATTAATTTTAATTAGTTAATATTAAAAAAAATCGAGGACAATGATGAATTCGAACATTTCTTTTAATGTATTTAATAACAATACTCGTTATAGCTAACTTCAGAAATTACTCAAGGTATATCAATAAGATTAAAATCACCCATATATCCATCAATATCATCATTTAATATCCTGCTTAAATGATGTGTTAATGGACATAATCTTTGTAATGGTTGTGAATTGTTATTGGTACAAGTAACTGAATTACTTGTAGTAAAAATTATAGGTTCACTATTTAAATCTTCATTTTGTAAAGACCCTTTAAATAATAATTATGAGAAAAATCAAGAAGGCATCTAATAGTTGGTCTTTTAGATGGGTCAGCATCCCAACATTTTCCCATCATTTATACATATTAATATTCCTTTGGCGTATTTGATAAAATTTGTGGTCGTGAACCTTCCTTCATGTATGTCTTTAATTAAACAATGATTATGAATTCTATCATTAAACAAATGGAATCTCTTTTAAAGATGAAAAATTCAATGGACCATTATTAATGTAAATATCACTTGTGTTTGATAATGCATCATTATATATTCCATTGTAAGTTTTAATTACAAATTCTCGTCTGTCTAGTGAAAGCAAACTTTCATATGACATTTATTGTTTGTTTGTTATTATTTATTATTTTTAATGATGAAAAAGGGCTAATTGCGTCACATGATTTTTTAATTCGACCACATGTATAGTCTGAATGTCTTTTAGAGGCTCTTGAAGTGGCTAGGCAATGGAGAGAGAACGTCAAATGTTTGAAACAGTTTTGGAGCATAATGCAGCAATGGACAAACTCTTAGACAATGGATTTATTGGAAAATAATTTGGTTGCCAAGAATCAGGAAATAAACTGAAGAGATTATTTAGAAAACAAAGAACTACCAGCTCTGCCAAAACAGCAAAAAGAAAATAGATTGTGAAAGTTCAAGCAATTAGTAAGTAAAGTAAAGGAAAAAATTAAAGAGAAGTTCCAGGCTTTTATTGTTCAAAAGAATATGTAGATCAATATGAGATTAGAATATAGAGTTCTGGTGCAAAAATGAAACTTTAATAATGCGTGTCTACCCAGATCTCTGGGATTTTTACAAAATAAATTACTTTTCCTGATTATCAATTATGGTTGCTCATGAATAATAAATCTGATGTTGATCACAGGTGTCAGATTTAATTAAAATTCCTATCACAAACATGCAATTGCGGTGCAATGCACACCCTGTCCCCATAGAACTTTTTCTTTTCCACAGGCAAGGCAATTGAACATGTTGGAAGGCTTTGGACAAAACTTTTACTTATCTTTTCCTCAGACCAGGCTTGGCTGTTACCATATGGGCATTAATCACTGATAGCTGGTGCTTGCTTTGTGTTATCACCCTCTCTCACTAGAATAAAGTTGATTTAAATAACAAGTTCAGTTGGTCAACAAAAATTAAAGAGAAACAGAAAATTTATGAAAATGATTAATTCATAACATAACATACCAAAATCCAAACCATTTATGACTTTTTCTTGTTGGCCCTATTGCTGACAAAGATGTATATAATCATGTGATAATTTTAATCTACAGGACAGGGGGACTGATTGGGCAGAAACCCATCCCAGTCCCCTACCCAAAATTATTAAATTGGTTAGAATCAGAGAAACAGAGAATTTAGGAAAATGATTATACAAAAAAAACACTATTTTACAACTTTCCTCTTAACATCAGAGTCCAGATGCAATTTCAGGGCCACCAACCCTGTTCTGGATTGTGACCTCCTGTGCTTGAAACAAGCTGCAGATTCTCTTAATATTCCTCCAGAGTTGCAACTTGGTCACAGAGCCATCCTTACCCTAGAGGTGAGATCGTTGCAGGCAACTTGTCAGCCTTCTCTGGTCTGGGAAGATTAGTGAAAGTGTCTTTGACGATTGATGCAATCATGATAAACTTCAGGGCCATGCGCCCCCCCCCTGGAATTCAGTAGCATCATTGTATCATCATGGAAATCTTGGTCAGATTAGCCTTTTGAACACGAGGAATACGTGAGAATGACTGTAGTGTGTTCAAGGTAGTGTGTGTGCTTCAACGCCTGTCAATTTTCGATAATCAAACATTGCATATTGAAATGTTTCTTATTCAACAGTCAATGCTGCCTTGACATCTTGTAATTGTAATAATAATAATAGTATTATTATTATTACAATTACGAAAAGCAAAATATTATTATTATCAATGAAAATCTTGTAATTACCCAGCAAGATCTGTTCCGCGTTTTGATTCCAATTAAAATATTTATAAGCTAAAATAAAAATATCAATACAAATAAAAAAAAGTACCTCTGGTTAGTTATAAACACATTTCTTTAAGAGACCCAAACCAAACCAAACAATAACACTCACGTTTTGTCACCTTGGACACTGTCAAAAAATAAATTGTTTTTCCAAAAAAAAAAAAAAATCAATTCGTGTCTGTCCTCCCAAAAAAAACCAATAGGATAAATAATTAATGTATACGTGTTGATCAAATCACAAACTTCTTTTTTTTTTGTAAAAATGTCTAGAAATAAAAGAAGTAAAGAATTCGTTGTTAATGTTGCTGGGTAAGTGTTTTAAGGATGGTGGTGGTTATCACCTGCCACTCACCATTATTCTAGTTTCTTTCTTAAAAATGCCTAGAAACAACAAAAAAAACATCAAGAAACAAAATCAACAAAATAACAAAGGGGAGGCGCTTAGTGGGTAAGTGTTTTAAGAATGGTAGTGGTGGTTATTGCCACCACTCATCACTCTAGTTCTAACTTATAATAACAAAAAATTTCTGTTTTAAACATCTTGGCTATTCCTCCTCACCTTCATCTCTAGTATTATTTCAAGTGGATTATTTTATTTTTAATTTAGTTATTTGCTTATAAAATTTATGACTAATGCCCATTTTCATAATGAAATAAAGATTCTTAGAGAGATCAATGCTGTAACCAAAAAACAAAGAAATAGTAGAAAAGAAAAGAATAAATAGCATGAAATTAGAATACCAAATTAATGAGCTGAGGAGAGGAGATAAATGGCATTGTAATTTCTG